GTGATCGGAGTGTAGGACACTAGTATAATCTATTGTGCAAAGAACTGAAATTGAGCTCGCATCTACCCTAGATCACCATTTGGACGACTGAAAAGACGTAGGCCACTTGGAAATAGTTTTGTTGCACAGGACAGTTATGTTGCTTAGAAGTTATTCATTTGCTTTATAAATTATTAAATAATAAATATATTAACGTAAAACATCATATACAAGGTTAAGAACTATACTACATAAATATACAAAAGGTTTTTGCAAAAAGACAGAGTTATAACAAACTTAGATTTCACCTTGGGTAGATTTAATATAGAATTGTACTAGAAAAGTAGTTACACGCGAGTTAATAATAATATAAACCGTATAAATATAATTGCGTACATTAATGCGTGAACGTATACATCGATAATTGTTACATCAACAACATCGTTCATCTCAAGAGAATATCAGGATAATCAGAGGTAAGTGGAACATTTGTTTACATAATAAGTCTATAATAGATCCTTTACTGAAGAATTTTTTAGTAATAAACAATTAGAATAGGATAAGTCATTGAGAATAAACTAAAATATTTTTATAAGAAACACGATACTTGTGACTAGCCGGAAATTAGTGCACACGTTTCTGTGCAGGAGCTGGGTAGTGACCCTTCTTTGTAATTTCATCTTATTCATACATTAGACGTCTTTACACAAGCAAACATACCCCGAGATCCCTTTCTATTTTATTTTATTGTAGTCACTACCGGGTATCTATAGACACTTTTACTTTCCATTGGTACCCATCCTTTTTACACTACGCCCGCTACGATTATTATTTCCTTATTGGCCACCTGTGTTACATTTCTTTACGTTTCTTCTCTTTCACACCCCGAACCCCAAACACATTTAACAACATTCCTTTGCCACCTTATTGTAGCCATTTTATTTATTACAAGACTACATACCTACACTCACTCGTTTCTCTTTTTATTTATTACAACCATATTCCCCTTTGCCCCTTTCGTCATTCTTTTTGTTTATTACAAATGGTTGCAATTAAAGATTTTTAAAGTTAGGTGTATTAGGTTAGAATATATTTGTAAGCCTATGTGTATTGGGTAGTTAATCATTGTTGGTTTAATGTCTTTGTTCTAACGAACATCGCGCCGGCAGACAGCACAGAGAAACTTACGAATATATGTTTTAGTGTTTAATTTTTGTCTTAGTGATTATTGTGCCGCATCCTTTCAAGGCGATACCGCCGGGACACATTGGGCCACCACAATTCCGCCTTGACAAATCTTTTACATAGATATAAATATTTCTGAATCTTGTTTTAGCCAGGCCAGAGGAAAATGTAAGAAATATTGGTGTCGATCACTCAATAAAATATAATCTCATAAATAATATACTCATTCTACAAAGTCAACTAAAGATACATTATTTGATTATAATTATGAAAAAATATAGAGTGTATAGAATCTCTTGCATATAATAATACAGTCATAGATTTTGTGTAACGGTTTCACATTATTTATAATTAGACCTACATATTATTATTGGTTATATCATAATATTTACTCCCCATAACAAACACCCCTTTTCTTTACCTTCTTGACCCACCATCATCTTATATTTTCTTATTATATTTTGATGACCCTTATTTATTTAAACTTTTCTTTTTTTTCTTTTCTTTTTGGTTTATTACAGAACATAACAGTAGAGTACCACCTTGCACGAGTACTCTAGACGTCAATCGACACCGGCAGTGCGCCGAAAACGATGACTATAAAACGAAAATAATTAAAATATAATTAAGGCATCATCCTCTAATTATTTCTTTCCGATTATGTGAATTATGTCTAACGTAGCTGTGCGCAGGTGAACTCATGCAGTTAGTTTATTTAGAATTGCTCTAAATATTACTATCAATAATAATGTGTTATTTATAAATTTGTCTATTATAGACAAATTTATTTTATGCAATAAAATAAAAACAAACTTACTTATAGTAAGTTAGTTAGTATGTTATGAATGATCAAACACAAAACAACTTGCTTTATTAAGAAAATAACTTATAACAAAAAAACGAAACAACAAATAAATAAATATGACATATAGATAAGAATATTTGCTGCGTCCTTCTTCCTTTACTTAGTTCTTAAACACTGACCGTCGTTGAGACTACAAGCAACCCTCATGCCCTCTAAGCCTGGTAGGTAGCACCGATCCTTTCTGTGACGCTACGCAGTTAGTCAACCGGTCCTAACTACCTGCTTCTCTGTTCGCCGACACTAAATGATATGTCAATACTATCTGCGATATCTCTAATTGTCATTAGACGATTTTCAAGCACCAAATCTTTGATTTCTTGGACGTAGCCTTCATCGATAGATGTTGATATTCGTCCAGAGCGCGGTTCGTCTTCAACGCGTTTTCGACGTTTGAACTCGTTGTATCACTTATAAATAATTTTTTGTGCCATAGTTTGATTACCAAAGGCCTTCCGCAACATTTTGAACGTGTCTGCACAAGAATATTCGTTCCGCAAACAAAATGTGATGCAAGTTCTTTGCTCAACAAAAACACCCATTGTAAAAATCGAAAACTTCACTTTTGGATGTTTAAAAAAAACGCGTATAACTTTGAGGTTATTAAAACTATTAACAAACAGACAATTGACACATGTCAACAATGATGTCCTACCTACCTAAGAAAAAAATTTATCTGCCTTCATAATGACTGGAAGTTTTAAATGACAATTTCACCTTACTTTTTGATCACAGTAGTATTATAAGTAAGATGTGTGTCTTGGAATACCAATTTGAACATACTATAGAACTGTGTTCTATTATAATTTAATAGAAATTGATATTTTCATAACTTTTTAATATAATTTTATTGTTTTTTTGTAACAAAAAATCGTAGGAATAAAAATATTATAAGTTAAATATTTCACAATCTTAAAAACTGATATTTTTCGGGGGGGGGGGGAGAGAGTATACATAAGAAATATTTAATTTCTCCTCAGATAATTATATACTCAACAAGATAACATTTTCATTTTGTTAGAAATATTTTTTTATTATTTTCTGACTAAACCCGTAGTCTTAATGTCTGAAAATAGTTCTGTAAATGTATACTATAAAATCCAATATATTTCATTTCATTTTATATTATAATTAAATTAATATTAGCTTCGGTGCAAAACTGAAAAGATATTAATTTTATAATAATCAGTTTTTTTTGTGTGTGTCTGTCATTCATTGTACGGGCCAGGGTATTAAACAGTAAAATATCTTACCCGGTCACTACGCCCTTTTTACCAAAGGTTCGGCTTTTTGGTATACCATTCCAACAGGCTGACCAACCTAATAGTGTGTGATGTGGTAATAGAGTCAATGGTAATAGGAAGGGTCGCCTGCGCAAAACCAGTGATCTATGTAGTGCTCAAGTGTGTAGGTGTGTATCCCTAAGCTAAATAAATAACTAATTCAAAAATTTATTATAATCGATAACAAAATTTATAATAATAAACAATTAATGATAATAATAATATAAAAAGAAAGCCCTTCTAGCTCAACAACAGTAATTAATGTGGTCAATGACAAAATGAAACTCTATAAAACCAATAAAAATAAACAATTTCAAAAGTAACAATTATATATACAAAAAAGGACATCTCAGAAACCTAACAAATTTAAACTATAAAAACAATTAACAATGGTGTAAATATAACCCATTTAGTGATATTTAAAACTCTCAACACACTCCTTTTTTAGAACAATAATAATAATTAATATCTATAAAAAAATAACTACTCAATACAGTAATATGGTAACTAAATTAACAATTTTCAATATATTAACTCCTTCTGCTCAATAATAATCTTAAAACTAAACGAATACTTGACACAAATAACAAAAATACTCACTAATAATTGGAACTGGCCAGCTACTTCCTAACAAAAATGCATACAAATAATAATACAATTTTAACAGTAAGAACACAGCACAATTTTTAACACAAATCTCAAACAAACATTATAAATCCACAAATATCACAGTTTAGACTACAATTACGGCTATTTTATATAAAGGCCCTTATGGCCACTATGAAATAATACTCAATAATTTCTCGAGAATTATTGCGCTTATGACGGACTAATATTAAATCAATTTAAATTAATAGTTCATACCGAATTAATCCAAATAAAGTTACTAATAACCTTGATTCTGTTTATACATGTCATAAAATAAGTTCATATTTAAAACAAATTTTTATATATTTTGTTAAAACTGACTACGATTTATGTTTTAGTAAATTAATAAATTAATATATTATCGAATAAATTTAAATAATGCATCATTTTATAAATTAAAAATTCCGGAAAAAATATGATTTTATTGAGTTTTATACATATTTCTCAATTCTTTTAAAATCTTATAAATTGTGAAATATTATACGAGACCTAATTTTATTTCACTCAATTATTGAATGAAAAATTGTATAAATTAAATTTGACTAAATGTTAATGATACTTTGAAGAACTGACAATAAAAAGAATGCAAGTGACAAAATTTAAAAATCGAGTTATTTCACTAAAAGTAATGTTAGTTCCAATTGCATAAAAAAGAAGGTAAATTCCTATTACGTTGAATTTAGTTGTTATGGGTACAGGTTGATGTCACTAGTAATATATGCTGTATAAAAAGAAATAAGTATCAACAACACCTGATTGTCAAATACACATATATTTCATGTTAAAATAAGTAAGTAAGTATAACACTTATAAGTAAAATCCATATACACAATATTATAAAATAATTTAACTTAAAATAACTTAATTAAATTGCTTCTATGGCTAAATTTTTATTTAAACAGATTTTATTAAATATGTCGATACAATCTAAATTTACTTAAACAATTTTAATTTAAAGTACTTTAAAAATAGCCGATTAAGTAAAACTTAAAGGAAACACAAAACTTAAATCAATATACATATTTAAATGTAATATATATATATATTCATACGACTAACAATATACTAAAAATTTTGTGTTCAATTAATTAAAAATGATCATAGAAATATACTATTTTAATTTCTTTATAATTTGGACAATTCAATTCGATACAGATAGCTATAGAACAGCGAATGAAATTGATTATGCTGCATATTTATGTGAAATAGTAAATTATATTCTATTTCAAGACGAAAACACTTCTATACAACACTTAACAGATGGTTTAACGGAAAATTCGGATTACACTCAAGACTTAGGCCTAGAAATAAATAATGAAAATTTCACTAGAATATTTAATGCCATTATTGAGTTACTTAACTGTAGGTATACAATTATTCTAGAAATTTTCCATGAAAATATTGGTTTAATAATCCAATATTGTGATAGATATTATTCAAATAAACAATTTTATGATTTTATTGATTGTAATATTACACTTAATGACGCAATTGATGATTCAAGAACTCTATTTGAAACTCTGTATAAAATCGTGAATTTCTTTAATAATTTAAATATAAATTACGTATATAAAAACTATAAAAGAAAAAAAATCATTATTGATGAACTATCCTTTATTAATGAGTACATTCAATCGAAAAGAAAATTAAGTATACTCCAGTATATCGATCAAAAGGGAAATCCTAAAGTTGAGATAGCTAATAAGGATACTGAAAATATTAAAAGTTTTCATGATGTTTTATCAACAAAAATTTCATTTACTACTATTAAAAACAATAAGTATAATACTTGGCAAAATAAATTAGAGAATGATGATGCAATAGAACATGAGAAATATTCAATTTTGCGTTTAGGTTTCATCCACGTATATAATAAACTAAAGTTATTTTATGATGAAGCATTCAAACTCGAGTATATCAATCTTGGTTTTCACATCTTATTACATCCCACAACGCCAAGGTAAAGTTTATTTTTAAGTCGAAATTCATAAATGTTGTGTAGTAATATAATTTATTAATTTTGTAGTAATATATATATATATTTCTTCTTCCTTTTCCTCGCCTAAATCCCAACTATTAAGTCTCTCCATCTCTTTTTTGTCTTCCTCTTCTTTTCCCTAAACTATATTATTAGTTGCCTCGCACAAAATACTGGCTCCATTGTTGACTTACCAGGCATATATCCAAACTGGTTTTTAGATACTGATGTCTCATTCCTTATTCTCTTATCTATTACCTTTTTCCATATTTTCATACTACAAGCTTTATGCTTCTATTATTTTCACACTCCTCTATGCCTCCTTTGCCTTTAAATATCAGCAACACAATACTATTCCTCTAATCATTTGGGATTTTTTCANCACAATACTATTCCTCTAATCATTTGGGATTTTTTCATTTTAATAAGATTTTATTTATAAGGTCCTTCAACAACCTTATGCTAACACCGCCTGATATTTTCCATACTTCTACTGGCACTTCATGTGGTCCTACTGCTTTATTCTATACCTCTTTCTCACTAATTAAATCTACCAGACCCTCGTTCCACGAGATATCCTGTAATGTCTGTTGGATTCTCCTCATTAAATTATTTTTCAAAATACTCTTTCCACCTTTTTTCACATCATCATCACTTGATATTACTCTATTATCAACACTTTTTATATACCTTACATAATGATAATTTTTAAACCTTTTCTCTCTTACTTTTGAAAGTCTATAGATTTCTTTCTCGCCTTCCTTTGTTCCTAGCCTATCATACAACTCTTAACATACCTCTTAAACTTCGACTTACTTACTGAACACTCGGTTTCTTTTTATAAGCGTTCATATTCTATCCAATCTTCTCTCATTTTGCTCTTCTACCATATTTTGAGCTGCACTTTCTTACTTTCTATTATTTTTTTAATGTTCTCATCTCACCACCAACCAACCAACCAACCAACCAAACCCAACCAGGTTTTCTTGTTTTCTGGCATTCTATTCTTACTCTAACCAACAATCTCCTTTGCAATATTCTTTATACAACTAGCAAATCTATTCCACACATCATTTATATCTCCCTAGACATTCCACACCGTTTTCTCTTTTACCGTCCTTACAAACTCTTTTTCATTTTCCATCACCGGATCTTCGATTTTTCCCCTGTGTGTCTTCTATTTTTGTTTATTCTCTTTCCGGTACACCACAACTCCATTACCATCAGTCTATGTTGTGTAGTAACACTCTCGCCTGGTATAACTTTACAATCTTTTACTCGCTTTACGCTCTCTCTCTCTCTTCCACATAAAATAATCAATCTGTGATCTATTGATACCACTCTTATAAGTTATATAATGTTCTTCCCTCTTTCTAAAATAAGTATTAACCACAGCAAGATCAAACGATACTGCGGAATCCAGAATTCTTTCTCTAGCTTCATTCTTCCCACTAAAATCATGCCCTTCATGTACTCTTTCATATCCTCTCCTCTCATTACCTACATGTCTATTTATATCTCCACCTATCACCGCATCCTCATTGCCAGGTACCCCTTGCATCAACTCATCCATCTCTCTCCAAAACACTTCTTTGTCTATTTCATCACGTCCTACTTGTGGTGCATAGGCACTTATTACATTCAGCACTTTTTCCTCGAATATCAATTTCACGACTATAATCCTGTCACTTTTCCTAGCTACTTCTACTAATTTACTTTTCATTTTCTCATCCATTATTATCCCTACACTATTCTTTGTACTATACTTCCTTGAGTATATTATTTTATAACCCTCACCTATTTCTCTTGTTTTCTCTCCTTTCCACTTCGTTTTCTGCACACAACAAATGTTAACTTCTCTTCTTCAATACTTCTACCACTTAATGTTCCAACATTTCAAGAACCTATCTTACTATGTATATATCTTTCTACCTATACACGAGTCCAGCCTAGAATTAAGTGTTGATGTCCCTACGCCATTGACATTACAAGCGTTGGGTAGACCTGTACACATGACTGGTGAAACAGCTACCGCACAAGTTGTTCGGCTGGTATCAAACACTTTATTCCTGAAGTCTTCTTCGTTTTTAACTACTTTATTTCCTATCAGCTATTGTCCCTGTGAACATCTGAGATGGGCACAATCAGCCTAAGTTTTGTTCAGGACTCCTCATACTTTTGACAAAAATTTTATGCCGGCTGTCGATATAACACAACCTCATTAGTCATCTCTTACGACAGCCAGGGGCCGTGGAAATTTTCTTATTCCCTATCTAATAGGGAGATTTATAGTTATGTAAACTATTAGTATATTATTTTATATGAATCAATCATTAATCAGAGTGTCCCATAAGTTACTGACATATTTCATAACTTATGACCTTGTGTCTATTGTGTTTTCTTTATAAATTATAACAACTATTGTTATATCATTGTAAGTTCGTTTGATAACGTTTATTTACCAATTGTGCCTGTATTACATTAGCATCAGCTTCACTCATAATATGGAGATGGCTATGTAGTAATAGTATACAACGTGGTCAAATTTAAGAACGTTTTGACACGCTATTATAGTTATTTATTTATTTTGATATAGGAACATTGATGCAATTGACATTTTAACTTTATATATAAATATTCATAGATTTTATTCCAANGCAGTAATAGTATACAACGTGGTCAAATTTAAGAACGTTTTGACACGCTATTATAGTTATTTATTTATTTATTTTGATATAGGAACATTGATGCAATTGACATTTTAACTTTATATATAAATATTCATAGATTTTATTCCAATAAATAAATAACAAATCTTTATTTTGTATTTTATGTACTCATAGACTCATATCACCAATACATGATGACTCATCTGAAGATCTCGGAATCTGTGTTATAAATACACTATTTAACGAAGTTAAGTGGCAATCGTTAGTTGATACGAAAATTCAAGTGAATCATCGAATTAAAGATTTAAATGAAATACAGCATGATGAGGACAATGTAATCAATTTCTTTAAAATGAAACAAGAAGTTGCTCACATTTTGAAGTGCAGGTATAGCGCATTATTAAAAACCATTGCTGTCTCATTAGCAGCTATACAACACTTATGCCAGTATGAAGTGAATAATTTAAATCAGAATAATTTGATTACTTGTTTAAACGTATTACGAGACACAATACCATCTGTTACAACTATGTTAAATTCTTTATTCGCAATTTTTGCCTTGTTAAAAAAAGCATCCATTGGGGATTATAAAATAGCATCTCCATCATGTTTAAAAAAAGTTGTAGACATTGCATCAGAATGTAATTATATTTTTTTGAAAGCCCAAAATACTTCTCTAATAGATGAGATTAATGCATTAAATGGAATAACATTTTTGGAAAATATTCGAAAAGATCAACTTTGTATAACCCAATTATTTTCAGATACCAAAATCAATCAATTTCTTAAAAACAATTGTGTTTTTGACAAACCAATGTTAAATAAATTTGAATTGATAAAATATTATGGAATTCATCATGATTTAGCATATCATAAAATAAGCTCACATTTAAAGCAATTTTGTATAGATTTTGTTAAAACTGACTACGATTTATTTTTTAGTAAATTAATAAAGCAATATATTCTTTAATAAAATAAAACAATGCATCATTTTATATTTTAAAAATTCCCGAAAAAATATGATTCTAATTAGCTTTATAAATATTTTTTAATTATTTTAAATTCCTATAAATTGTAAAATTTCCAGTAAAATTATGAAATATTATACGAGACTTATTTTTATCTCACTCAATTATTTAATAAATAATTGTATTAAAATGTATATTAGATTCTTAATAAAAGCACAAATTTCTATATATTTAATGATACAAATTTTGATATTTTTAAAGATGCAATGAATAAATCTAAATGGTATTTAACGATTTCTATAACTTTTCCAAGTTAACTTTTGATAATATTCTGTCAATACTGAATCTTTTATATACATTTTAAATTATAGCTTATACAATATAATACATATTCAAAATGAAAATTGACCCTGTGATCTGTGTACACTCCATATACTCCTTTATTTTCCTACTTTCAATCTCATTTTATCACTTTATAGTCACAGGAGAGCGTATATTTTGCTTATCAGTAAAGCAATTTCTGGACACATTTAAAATTTTGATAACATGTATTATTTTAGTGACTCCCTTTGTAAACATCCAAAGATAATATTTCTTTAAATAATTAACTAACCCTATGTTAATTTAACCCTATATAATTTCTAAAATATTTTATATTAATTATAAGAAAAGTACAATGTCACAAAAATTGTATTATTTACCAAATTGATATCATAAAAATACTTTGTAATTTAAATATATATTTTCATATAATAGTTATCTTAGTTATGATTACCGTGTAATTAATTATAAAATGATAGTAATAAAACAGTCTAAAAAGGCAGTACGGCATTCGAAATTACCGAAAAAAAATAGAGATGGGGACTACTAACTATATAAAATAAAAAGGCTAAAAGTATCACCCAGTTAGTGCAGTAGCCTTTGGGTAGAACAGAATAGCGTAGAACAGCATAGAACATAGTAGTGGAGTTAGTCACTTAACTAATTAGCACAATATGGTGGAAAAAGAGTAAGAAATAATCTCGACTGCCGTACGTTTCCTGACACAAATCTTACTTTGGTGTTCAAATTATTTCTTTATAATAATAATCTATTTTAAGAATTTAAATAATAACAACAAAAGGTGAGTCAATTTTATTAATCCTTATAAATACATTTTTATGGCTAATTTATTTTAATAACCTTATTATTTTTTAAACCCTCGAACCATGACTCCGATAAAATATTATAGTACGTAGTAATTTATTCGTGCTCTATCGCAATAGAGCTCCTTTCTTAAAATATTATTTTTTTTTTCTTTTATCTCTTTTATTATATTTTTAAGTACTACACATCGTCTTAGCAACTAACTAAGGTTTTGAATTTTTCAATAAAAATCTGAAAAATTTTCTAAAAAAACAGAGGTATTAAACATTTTCTTACATATTCTACGGTGAAGGAGTGCATAATCGAATGTTTTAATCGCACGCTCACAGATTTCGTATGAAAAAAAATTTATCACTTCGAAATTTTACCGATTATTGTAGCTAATTGGATTTTTATGACATTGCTGTCATAGTCACGGATTCTTTATTATCAATTATGACTATCAATAGATATACTTTCTGTATTGTCAGTTAGTGTATTTATAAACTCACAACAATGTGCCTTACTACCATAGATAATAACAATACTGTGTACATGCGAATAATGATGTCATAAAAAACCAATTAGCTACCTGTATTTGTAATACCTTGTGTAATATTTATGTATATTAAATAAAAAATTTGAAACTTATCGTAACCTATTTTAAGATGACTTCGTTAAGATGACCCACAAACAGACATCATCAATTTTCTTTTTTTACATATAGTAAGCGATATAAGCTTTAGTGTAACATACCTTTAAAAGACGCAGTTTTTTTCAGAAAATTTTTAAAAGTTTAACTATTGTGCAAAAGTTGTTATTATGAATAATTTCCTGTAGGCAGTTGAATGGTCCGATTTTCAAAAAACCAAATAAAAGGGAAATACCTAAGGTAATTATATAATTATTTAATTATTTTTACTTTACAATTATTTATTTTTCAAACAATTAATACAGTTTTAAACAAAAAAAGTTTAAAATTAAAGATTATATTTTTTTTGGTTATTTCGCCAATTTACCTAGAATGAGGAAATTTTTTCAAAATTTGGAGAGTAATGTATTCAACGTATTACTATATTTTGACGTACTGTTGAAATGTTGGGTATATGCCTTAAGTAAGCGACTAGTTTTAGACAGTTAGACTTAACTTGCAAGACATTGGGACACCCTAAAATAATACTCCTAGAATAGCTACTAAAAAACTAAATTATACAAAAGTATTAAAAAATGTTTAAACGTAACTAATGGTTTCTGAAAGCTTACCACATTATGGATTAATAAACAAAAAATATAAAGTGATTTACTAAGCAACAATATAGGCAAAGCCTATAATAAAATTAAAAAAATCCAGCAACATAGTTAAAAATAATCATGGCAAAATTCTGTTTGAATATGAAAAGGTAATAGAGAGGTGGAAAATTTATTTGAAAAAATTATATAAGGGAAAAGAGGAGATTGAAAATTAAGAGGAATATATATAAAATGTAATAGATGTAAATGAAGATAGAAAAGGACTCAAAATATTAGTAAGCGAATTCTAGAAATCTCTAGGAGAACAGAGTGACAAAAAAGCAACAGGAATTGACAGTATCCCGGTTGAACTACTGAAAAATATAATGTAAAAGATAAAATATCAATTTTTTAAAATCATTAAATAATAGCTACAATAATGAAATAACAGTTTCGAAAAAAAGTAATGTAACGGAATATGGAAACTATAGAACTATAGCGCTCTTTTCTTACACTTAAAAAATACTTCTAAACATTTTCAAGAACAGGTTGAGAGAGACATATAACAAAATATATCAAAAAATCAGTTTGGATTTAGAGAAAAGGTGAGAAACATGATAGACATGATGAAAACTGAGACCAATGTAGTGAAAATAAATGGCCAACATATACACACTATTGTATATGCGTATTGTATTACGGATGACATTGTTATTTTAGCAGAGTCTGAACATGGCATGATATAAATAATATACCGAAAATTCCATAAAAAAAAAAGAATGCTTATATGTAAAAAGCATTCAGAGCTAAATCGTAATATACAAATAATCAATACACGATTACAACAGAAATGAGACTTTTGCTACCTTGGAAGTGTCATATTCGTCCAATAATAAATCAACTCCAGACATCAGAAGAAGAATGGCATTGGCAAAATAAACATTCCAAAACAAGAATCAGCTTTTCATCAATAAACATCTGAGTATTGGTATACGTATAAGATTCGTTAAAAAATTTGTCTGGAGTATGCTTTCGTATGGCAGTTAAACATTGGCAAATGACAAGAAAGACAAAAGCAAATTAGAAGCAATAGAATTATGGATAAGTAGAACATTACAAAGACAAAATGGATAGACAAGAAAAGAAATGAGCAAGTGTTATAAAAAGTACGAGAAGAAAAACAGCTGATGAAGGTGATTGAATAAAGAAAAATAAAATTAATCGGACACATAATCCGACACAAACTTTATAATCAACATTTTCAAAGGATAAATAACTAAGAAGAAACCAATATAAAATAGAAAATACTTAAATATAAAAATTATTTAACAATGTCCTAATTTCTTTATAATCAAGAAGTTAAAGGACGTTATTCTAAGATAATTGTTCGCGTAAATGAAAAAAAAAATTCTAGTACACCATGAGCGTTTAAAAATTTTTTCAAAAACGCTCATTGCCGCAAACGTCTTTTGATATAAAACCTGAAATTTATACCAGGTCTGCCCAGAGACAATCCAAAGGTACCTTGAAATCTGTAGATCTTTGACCGAGTTATGAGCTTTTTTTCAAGTCAAGGCTAATAATATTTATGTGATATGTCTTTGGTTTGTGCATGTTAAATTTGTTTAAATTATATATATATATATATATATATATTATATATATTATTAATTAAATTTATAGCTATTACATAAATTTATAATATAAATGTAATTATTTATTTCTATAAATAAATAAAATAAAATTATAATATTAGATATATGTAACACTTTATTTTCGAAATTCAAAGTATCTTTTTTTAAAGTACATTAATTAATTTAATTTATAATCTATACAATTGTGAATTTATTTTTTAGAGTTCGTGTAATCATAGTAATGATAAATAGCTTACATTGAAATGCCGGGTTAAAGACTAAATAGGAATATTTTGAAAAAAATGCATTAGAAGACGTTTTGTGCAAATCAATAAAATTTATTCATTAGAATTATAAAAAGGGATATACTAACTTTAATGCCAATANACGATATAAAGAAAAATTACTAAAGAAAATAAGAGAGTTAAGTTGAGCACATAAATGTAATCGTAAAAAAATAAAAGACAAGAGTGAATCTTTCACGGTTGTCAAAGGGCAGCAGGTCCTAGAGGGTTCTTAGATCTATTATATTAGATTATAGTAATAAACTTTAATATGACAATAAAAGTTATTTAATTTAAAAAAAAAGTGTCCTTTAAAATACGGTGCAAGAAGTGATTTGTATGGTATTAGTGTTTGTATAAGATATGTAAACTAATCAAGTATATTGCCAATTTTTATGTGAAACTGAATGAGCTCATTAATTGCTTAGTCGGTAAGGATTATGTAAACAAAAATTAAATAATTACACACCTCAGAGTTGTCAGTATAACTTTGTTAGCGTAGTTGAAATGTATTTATTTTATTAATTAATAGAAGAGAATATTACAAGGTGAAGTCGGACAACAGACAGAATTATTGAGGAAAGAAGGAGAGAAGCTAACCAAATGGATAAGATACTTAATTTTAAAAAATCTGATTCACAGACAAATTATCCGAAGACTGGAAAACTGTAATTGTATTCCCCCTATACACAAAAATAGTCTTTAAGATTGTAAGAGTTATAGAGATATTCTGTTATTAAATGAGAAACATAAAATACTATTCAATTGTATATTATAGATGATAAAGGAAAAGCAAAACAATTAATTGGAAACATTCAAGTTGAATTCAAGATTATAACGTCAACAGTTTACCAAATATTTATACTTAG